CATACCCTACTTGCAATCTTTCATTATGTAGTGCTGGCCGGATTACTTAAAATTGTGCATTTATAATTAACTCGTGCATTTATTATTAACTAGAATAACTGTGCATTTATTATTAACTAGAATAATCCCGCACTCACGCGTGCAGCGCGGTGCGTGGGTAATAATTACACTGGGCTATTCACATTAGGTTACAGTTCATAGGTGGATATCCCACTGATCTGAAAATATCGCGAATGACAGGAATAAAGGTCCTGAAGAGAAGTGTGAGAAATGAGATTCGCCTGTTTTAGGGTTGAAAATGGGATTTCATGCACTGGGCCTGGGAATTACCAACAACAACAAAATCTAAAATGGTGATGGGATTTGAGCAAGACATGGCCTGATACGATGGGATTTGGTCAAAATTTCGCAGTGTCTCTTGTTTGGTCTAAACTGCATACTATTAACATTGAAATTTAATTCCATCAACAAAAGCCCTTCAATATTTAGCCGTTCTTTCTTGCGAGATGAACAAATTTCCGATGTTAAGCCTGGTTATTCCCGCTTAGCATTAACCGCCCTAACGCTTGTACATGCCTGTCCGTCCTCTGTTTGGGAAAAAGAAAGGATGAAAGAAATAAAAGACGGTGTACGATATCTGCAACAGTGTCCGGGTACGCATATAGGTAGTCTTAAGGTGGCTCGATATAGTTATTACAAAAACCCTGCTCAAGAATCGCGAACTCAAAACCGGGCGACCATTTTTACGCGCAGGTCGCGCAAACAGATTAACAAAATGAAAGAACTTCCAAAATGACCTGACGTGAGCATTTGCTCGCGCCACATCATGCCATTGCGCGTGTTCTATTGCGTTTTATGTTAATTGCTGACGTCATTAAAATTTTCCATTTTAGAAAAACAATGCGCTATATCCCCTTATTTTGTCTGGTGACCTATGTTCAAATTTTGCATGCTGTATTGCACCGCTAAAAACTTTCATTATACAAAAAATACAAATTCTGTAATGCCAAAAAATTTTACCGAAGAATATGACATATCTGCATGTTCCGAAAAAATGGCATTACAGAATTCTACTTCTTCATCAACTCGGTCGTTCCGAAGTTGTACGAGAGAGAGTGCAGCGCATGCGCAAAACCACTTGTGAAGTTTGCGCGGAAAAAAACAGCATCGTGTTTTTTCATCCAGAGGATTGTTGGAAGATTTTTACTATTTCTAACAGTTGGTAATGTATCTTCAAAATAAATATTTATTTCTGTTGCAATTTTTCAGCTAAGTATCACAATTTTGTCTTGTATTTTGCATGGTTTGATTATTTTTATGCTGTTTATTTAGGCAACATGGCGGTTCATTCGGATGACCCGAATGACCTTGAAAGTCGTCTTGATTATGACGAGTCTGACGACTTAGATATGCCCGAACAAGCAAACAAAGACCCTGAGCATGATAGGGCAGATTTTCGTGAGTTCTTGTCGTCTTTACAGAAGACTATGTCTACACAAACAGCGTTATTGTCCATTTTAGTGGCCGAACGCCAAGGCGAAAAACGAGCTAACACCAGTAGTGTCACGGCTTCGGCCAGCTCGAGCAAACGTCAGAAATATGACTCGAATGATATACAACCTCAAGTAGGCTTACAAGATATAGCTGCAGAGACCGGAACTACAAATGCTTCAGAGGAAGCAACTAACAATGCTTCAGAGGAAGCAACAAATTCGGTCTCAGAGTCAGACAATGAGCAACACACAAGTGAGCAAAATGACGACAGGTTAAGTGTACATGGGGATGAGCATGACCCTGATCTTGCCGGGTCAATGAGTGAGGATGAAGACAATACCAGTCTTCTGACAAAAATAGGTGAATCACTCTGTCCCACTGAGGATCATGGACCACAAGTTATTGAAAAACTTTCACAACTAGTGAATACTAAGTTTGTGATGGATCTTGACCTTGAAAAAAGGAAACAACTTTCTGAAAAGTACAAAACACCCAAAAATTGTGAGGCACTTTATGTGCCACGTGTTAACCCGGAGATATGGGGAAAATTAAACCCAACAACTAAGCAGCGAGACATAAAGATGTCAACCTTACAAGACCTCTTACTCAGAGTGTCAAATGCTGTAATTATCTCATTGAATACACTTTTAGACTGTCGAGAGAAACGATCAATTGCTGATTACAAATCTGTTATGTCTAACTTGATCGACTGAATTGCTCTTATTGGGCATGTTCATAAAGAACTCGTTCAAACGAAGAGACCAGATCCGACCAAGTCTGACAAATGAATTCAAACCAGCATGCTCTCGTAACAATAAAATAGAGAAATCACTTTTTGGTGATGACCTCTCTAAAGTCTTACAGGACTTAAGAGCAACAAGCAAGGTTGTGAATAACTTAACACATATGCCTACCAGTGGAAAGGCAAGATCATCTGCAAATTATAATTCAGCAAGCACATCACGCCCTCATTTTTTACCGCATCAGGGGAGGGGCCATTACCCTCCCCAGCCCAATCGAGCATACAATTATTAAATAATGTTATTCAGGAGTGCCATCATGCTCCTATAGAATTTATTTCACCAATATTCACTGTTCCTAAGAAGGATGGTGGTATACGTCTTATTTTGAATTTAAAAAAGGAATGCATTGCTAATGTAGTACAAACAGTAAAAGTGTTTGACAATGTTGGGCTTGTACCCCATCCAGACAAGTCAACATTCATACCAGTACAGGAGATTGTTTTGCTAGGTTTTGTCATTAACTCAATCTATATGACAATAAGATTGACACCTGAGAAAATAAAACACATAAAAGAACTGGTCAAACAGACTATAGACTCAATACGTCATATAAAAATACGTTCGGTTGCTAAACTTATTGGCTGTCTTATTGCCAGCCTCCCTGCGATAATGTATGGGGCATTTAATCACAAGTATTTAGAAAAAGAAAAAATTGCTGCACTTAAATCATGTAAAGAAAATTTTGATGCCTTTATGTCTCTATCGCAAAATGCTAAGTATGAACTTGACTGGTGGTTAAATCATATTGATACCAGTTTCAATCCCATAAGATGCCCACCTGTGGATGTTGTTTTATCTCTAATAAAATAGAGAAATCACTTTTTGGTGATGACCTCTCTAAAGCCTAACAGGACTTAAGAGCAACAAGCAAGGTTGTGAATAACTTAACACATATGCCTACCAGTGGAAAGCCAAGATCATCAGCAAATTATAATTCAGCAAGCACATCACGCCATCATTTTTTACCGCATCAGGGGAGGGGCCATTACCCTCCCCGGCCCAATCGAGCATACAATTATTAAAGAATGTTATTCAGGAGTGCCATCATGCTCCTATAGAATTTATTACACCAATATTCACTGTTCCTAAGAAGGATGGTGGTATACGTCTTATTTTGAACTTAAAAAAGGAATGCATTGCTAATGTAGTACAAACAGTAAAAGTGTTTGACAATGTTGGGCTTGTACTCCATCCAGACAAGTCAACATTCATACCAGTACAGGAGATTGCTTTGCTATAGGTTTTGTCATTAACTCAATCTATATGACAATAAGATTGACACCTGAGAAAATAAAACACATAAAAGAACTGGTCAAACAGACTATAGACTCAATACGTCATATAAAAATACGTTCGGTTGCTAAACTTATTGGCTGTCTTATGGCCAGCCTCCCTGTAGCCTGCGAACAGGCTCTCAAGCTGAATTGAGAGCCTGCATCGATGACTAATGAATTTGAATATCTGCGTCTCAAATCGTGACGCGAAATTCTCATTGGTCAGTGCTATAATTTATATTATTCCGCTGAGCTCTATACATGTCAACTGCTAAGAGCACTATGCATAAAAAACACATCAACTGATCAAATTGGTCTTGGCCATCTTATCTCAAAGCACGAAATGTTCTGTTTTGCGAAAACAGTATTTAAAACATTTAAACTTTTGCTTCAATATCTTATATTTCGAAAAACAGTATAAACTGTACGGTCTAAATTTAGTTTGCACGGTCTAAATTTAGTTTGCACGAAAGTTGTAAACAACACCATATAAGGATAGACATTCCATATTTGGAAAAACGAACGTTACGGGGCAGATATTCAAATTCATTAGTCATCGATGCAGGCTCTCAATTCAGCTTGAGAGGCTGTTCGCAGGCTAGCCTCCCTGCGATAATGTATGGGGCATTTTATCACAAGTATTTAGAAAAAGAAAAAATTGCTGCACTTAAATCATGTAAAGAAAATTTTGATGCCTTTATGTCTCTATCGCAAAATGCTAAGTATGAACTTGACTGGTGATTAAATCATATTGATACCAGTTTCAATCCCATAAGATGCCCACCTGTGGATGTTGTTTTATATTCAGATGCATTATTGAAAGGGTGGGGTGCTGTTAAAGGGGAAATATCAACAGGGTGTAGATGGATAGCTGTAGAGGCAAAATGCCATATTAATGTCCTGGAATTACACGCTGTTCTATTGACGTTGAAATGTTTTAAGGTTTCTATTACTACCAAACACGTACAGATCCTGGTTGATAACACCACTGCAGTAGCTGTCATTAGCCATATAGGCAGTGTACACAGTGACAGCTGTCATTTAATGGCCAGAAAAATTTGGAAATTTTGTTTTCGTAATGATATATGGCTCACAGCTGCCCATCTACCAGGAGCCACTAATGTTGACGCTGACCATGCATCTAGAAATTTTATCAGTGTTGATACTGAGTAGATGCTCAATTCCACATGTCTCGTCGAAGTATTACAAACGCTCAAATTTCAGCCAAGTATCGACCTTTTTGCATCGCGATTAAACAAACAATTTGTAAAATACTGTGCGTTTAATCCAGACCCAGGTGCAATAGCCATTGATGCTTTCTCCATGTCATGGTCGAACTTACCCTTTTACTGTTTCCCACCATTTAGTTGTATTCTGAAAGCACTTCAAAAGATAATACAAGACCGAGCAACTGGCATATTAGTAGCTCTCAATTGGACGACTCAGGCTTGGTACCCCATTCTGAAATCATTACAGATTGCACCACCAATAGTGTGCAGACCGTCACGTAGCCTCTTGAGACTTCCATCAGCCCCCGATCAAATTCATCCACTTCACAGAAAGATGGAACTTATTTGTCTCTTATCGGGGAGAAACTTAAAGCCCAAGGATTGTCCCAAAGCTCCATAAAAATTATATTGGCATCCTGGAGAGCAGGTACTCATAGTCAGTATCAATCTCAAATTATCAAATGGCAAGAATTTTGCGCGCAACATAAGTGTGATATGATATCGCCGCCTGTTACATTTGCGGTGGATTTTTTGGCGCAGTTATCGGACTCTGGTATGTCTTATAGTTCTGTTAACACTGCACGAAGTGCCTTGTCCAGTCTTCTACAGTTGCATGATGTAAATATGCCATTTGGGCATTTACCAGTTGTTAAACGTTTCATGAAAGGGTTGTATGGGTTGAAACCATGTTTCCCCCGATACCAGACAATTTGGGATGTAAGCGTTGTTCTTAATCATCTTCGCAAGCAGCCACCTATACTGGAGCTTAGTCTAAAAGATCTCACTCTACATTTGACCTTTCTATACTATGACTATTGAGTGGTCAACGTTCCCAGACTATAAACTGCCTGTCTCTTGAACATATGCAACTAACTGATGGAAAATGTGTGTTCACTGTTGCGAACGAGATCAAACAATCACGAGTGGGAAAACATATTAAAGCACTTGAATTTCTTGGATACCCACAAGACCAAACTGTATGTGTTTTAACACATATTCGAGAATACATCAGACGAATAGCTGCCCTTCGCAAAAGTCAGCAGTTATTAATAAGCTATGTAAAACCTCATGGTCCGGTATCAAAAGACACAATCTCTCGTTGGTGTAAAACAGTGCTTGGTTCATCTGGCATTGACATATCAAAATTCAAGGGACATAGTACCAGAGCGGCTTCATTATCCCATCTTGCAGGATGTAATAATAATATCCAAGATATTTTGTCCTCTGCTGGTTGGTCGAATGAAAAGACGTTTCAACGTTTCTATAACAAGCCCACGGAATCAAGTTTTAATTTCGGAAAAGCTATTTTGGATTTCAACATGTTAACTCTATTTAACGTTCCTATAATCTTTAAAGTTCCTTGTTCATATTACATTGTGCATTTATTATGTGACAAATATAATAAAACATTGTTGTGTTTTTTGCTGGTGCATTTAATATTGCACTTACAGTGGGTATCACTGTTTCTCATCGCTACCCACGCTACAATTACTCAATGACGTCTCTGAAATCTCGTACAACTCCGGAACGACCGAGTTGATGACGAAGTAGAATTTGAAATTAAACGAGACTTACCTATAAGTTGAAGTTTGATTGGAATTCTGCGAGTCATCAACAGGGAGTGAAGGAGTTGTACTCCCGCCCATTTTTTATTACAAATAATAAACCCACCCAAATTACAAAATTGTCATTGGGGAATTGTGCTCTTAAGACTGGTTTTGCGCATGCGCTGCACTCTCTAGTACAACTCCTTCACTCCCTGTTGATGACTCGCAGAATTCCAATCAAACTTCAACTTACAGGTAAGTCTCGTTTAATTTCAAATTTTCCATGTATAAATTCGATATATACTATATATAGACAACATGGCGCCCAATCGACTCTCTAATTTATTTGGGTTAAACAAACATGAAAATTTCGATTGTCAGTTCAATATTTTGTGGCCGATTTTGGTATGATAGATTTCTTAAATGGAGATTTGTTTATTTTAAGTCGTGTTTTGAATCGTTTAAATTAATATACGTTTACATTTGAACATTCACGATAAAGCAAGTTCAAAATCATTGATGACCTTTTCACAGTCCGTGTTTAAACATACTTGCATATTTCTTACTTACATTTATACTTTCATATTTCAATTCATTTTAACAAATTGGTAGTGACATTTGTTTTTTTGACAGGATGGCACAATTCAAACGGATCCTATAGTTTCGACGGAAAAAAATTGAACGCGAAGAAAAACGTCAATCTTAATTTCATATTTGCAAGTACGGCAAACGTGAAACCGCTAACGGCAAACCGCGGTTTGCGGTTAGGCGTAAATAAAATAAACGTCAAATGAATCTTAAGGTGTCTAATATTTCTAACCTAACCTCTGTACAAATATAGGCATGAATGGGAACTTATAGCAGAAGGCAATATTACATTAAAGATGATGTCCACTCCGTTCTGCGCATCAGTTCTGCTCATAACAAAAGGGGCCCCCCAGATAAACATTGCCGAAATTTTGCATCTTTCGAACTTTTTTGAATTGAAACGTAGAGTTTATATTCATTTACAAGCATGGCGAACCAGAAAAGTGTTAGATATTCAGTTAGTATATCATATTTTACAAATATAGCAGTTAAAAACGGGCAAAGTTCGCACATTCGTACACGAGTGGACATATCTTTAAATATTTTGACAGACTTTGTTCACACAGCAAGCTTAGCCTTTGTCAGGAAGTTTGCTTCGCTGATTGGCCCACTAGTTTAATTAATCAGCCAATCATTCAGTTTGTTGTGTAAAGAATGCAGCGAAGGACTCATAGCCACGGAGCAAGGACCGTCGCTGACTTACATTTCCAAAAACTACACTCTATATGCAAATGCTGCATGTTTTCATCGTAATGGTGTATTGTCCTTGTATGTCTATGCATGTCTGTCTCATCTGTCATTATTTATCTTTCCACATGCACGTGTCTTGCTTATTTACTCTACACTTCCTATCATATATACTTTCTCTATCTTAATTCATTCGTCCATTTAAGAATTTTTAATATACACGCGTATATACTAATATGTGTAACATTTAAGTACACAACATCTAAATTCTTGGCAGGTGCCTTGTATGGGTCCCTTTGTTTCAATGGTGAACTTTTTTTGCATTGTTTCATATTTAACATTAAAATTAATTTTTAGTTAAGAATAAGTTTTAAAGTTCCCCCGTAAGACAGACTAAAGGCGGTTTTCCAGTCCTCGCACGAAGAGTGCTTGCATCTAATTAGAATTAACGGTTTAGCATTGTGATTGGATGGAAGTGCTCATGCATCACTCGCAGCGAGGAGCTTCGTGCGAGGACTGGAAATCCGACTTAATACTATTTAAGATGTATTTGAGTCGAACTGTTTCATATTATTCTATTATATAAAATATAACATAATTATAGTAACTTTTTCAGTGTTTTATGTTTTCATCATTAAAAAATTGGGGTCGCCCCTTCTCACATATTTTCAGTTTGAAGCCGCCCCTCTTTTCTCACACACCGCTCCTCCCTCCCATTATTAATGACCGGTCCCTAAACAGCGTATAGTCTGTTCCTTAATGTCCTTACCTTCGTGCATCGTAACAGTTGTACTATCCAAAAGCTTATTGCATAACGAGCACTTCAAGCACATCTTGTGAAATTCAGGACTCCCTTCCGCTCGTTCAGCATGGTAAACAGCTTTCCCGCATACTTTGCAACGAACGCCACCTCCAAAACCACTCTATTACAGAAAAAAATTTAAAACCGTGATATTGGCTTAATATAAGGTTTTTTTGTAGATGGAAATTTCGAGAGGGAGTCATATACAATTTTCAGGCCTAGACAAGACAAGACAAGACAAGACAAGACAAAAACTTTATTGACCCATTTTTACAACAATAAAAGACATTAAATCAATAAACATTTTACAATTCATTATAGGGTCCTGGCAATCCTGAAATAACCTGGGATAGCTAAAAATACCAGGATGCCAGTTTACTTTTTAATACCGTAATAAAATTATGATAAGTGAGTCGGTAAAAATGGCAACAAAGGCACACAACACACAATCATTCTTAGATGCATTTGCAACTGGTAGCAGACTCCTTAGTATCATTCTGGTTAGTATGTCTGAAAATAATCATTTTTAAATTGATTTTTGAATTTGGAAAGGGAAGCATACCTAATTTCTTTAGGTATAGAATTCCATGTAGTTGGACCTTGATATCTAACATTAAATAATCCATAATTGGTTCGAACTTTTGGAATATAATAAGATTCACTCGTGGAAGATCTAGTTCTATAATTATGCACTTGATCAACCCTTGTGAAAAATGACTCAAAAATTGACGGTAGTATATTATTATGAAATTTATACATAAAAATTGAAATATGGAATGTTACAAGATCGGGAAATTTAAGGATTTTTAGTTCCTTAAAAAGTGGACTTGTATGCTCATCAAATTTAGAAAAAGTTATAATTCGAATAACTTTCTTTTGAAGAATATAGATGGGGTTCAATGTTGTTTTATAAGTATTTCCCCACGCTAGTAAACCATAAATTAGAAAAGGATAAATCAGTGAATAGTAAAGATTTAATAGTATTTTTTTTATTAACATAGTGACGAAGTTTTGAAATTATACCAACACTCCTTCTTATTTTTTTAGCAATACTTTCTACTTCACTTTTCCAACTGAGATTAGAATCAATAAGAATACCCAAATACTTGATTGAAGTATCTCTCTTAAGAGGTTGGTTCATCATTGACAAGTTGAAGTTATCTCTAACAGTTCTCTGTCTAGCATGAAATATTACATAATTAGATTTTTCAATGTTAAGAGACAATTTATTTGCACACAACCAATTGTCAATATTAACCAATTCAGAATTTATATTTGCTTCCATAGAGGATAAGTTATTATCCTCAAAAAACAAATTACCATCATCAGCAAATAGCGTAAATTCAAATAATTTAGAACAATTTTGAAAGTCATTTATATATAGTAGAAAAAGTAAAGGTCCTAAAACTGAACCCTGTGGAACACCACAGCTGATTGGGCAGTTGTTTGATGTTTCATTATTTATAGTTACAAATTGCTTTCTGTTACGTAAGTATGAGATAAACCACTTGCAAGCAACGCCCCTTACCCCATAGCAAGATAATTTCTGAATTAAAATTTCATGATTAACAGTATCAAAAGCCTTATTGAAATCCAAAAATATTCCACATGCATAATTACGATTGTCAATTGCTTTTTGTACTTTATCTACAATTGATAAAATTGCATACTCAGTTGAATACATGGTGCGAAAACCAAATTGCCTTTCAAATAAGACTCTCTTTTTGTTCAAAAAATTTAATAGTCTCTTATACATTAACTTATAACTTTTCTAATAATTTGTCAAAAATAGAAAGGAGTGAGATAGGTCTATAGTTGCATGTGCAACTAAGAGAACCTTTTTTGTAAATTGGTATGACATTCGCAATTTTAAAGTCATTTGGAACAATTCCATTAGAGAATGACATATTAATTAAATATTCTAGAGGTTCAGATATGACTGATTTAACCATTTTGAGGACAAAAATTGGTATACTAAAGGGACCAACAGCTTTACTTGATTTAAACTTACTAATTTCTTGTTCAATTTCCCCTCTAGTAGTCGGAGAAATAAAGAAAATGTTTCTAATAGGTATTTCTAGGTATTCAGTTGGAGTGTTTTGAACAGTTGGTATTGAATCTGCAAAATTCTTACCAACATTTGAGAAATAATTATTAAAAATATTTGCAATAAGTTTGGGATCACTTATTTCCTGATTTCCATTCATAATTTTTGTACATTTGAATTGTTGAGGCTTTGATTTCACAATTTCCTTAATGCCCTTCCATACTTTTTTGCTGTCCTTACTATTTTTAATAAAATATTCATTATAATATTTTTTCTTACTAATTTTTAGGAGATGATTTATTTTATTTCTATATAATTTAAATTTAGCATGGTAATAAGTAGATTTTGTTTTTATCCACTTCCTATACAATTTATTTTTTAATTGGATAGACACTTTTAAGCCATGTGTAATCCAAGGCTTTGACTCAAATTTCTTTTCTTTTCTAGTCATAGGACGTTCAGGTATATGCCTGTCAATTATCTCAGAAATAATATCATAAAATATCTTAAACACCTGTGATGGATCTAAGTCAGTTGCAAATACATCTGGCCAATTTATACTATTTAACTCATTCATTAAATCAGGTTTATTTAGTTTAGAGAAATCTCTTATAGTTTTACTTATATTTGCTGAAAGAGGTTCATATTTATTTATAATCAGAAAATTTGGTAAATGATCAGTAAGATCATATACTATATTGCCACTTATTACAGAATATTCAAGTGAATTAAAAAATATATTATCAATTAGAGTAGCAGAGTGATCTGTCACTCTAGTTGGTTGCAATATTAGAGGTATTAAATCAGGTTTATTTAGTTTAGAGAAATCTCTTATAGTTTTACTTATATTTGCTGAAAGAGGTTCATATTTATTTGGGCCTAACAGCCCACATGCAAGAGCAGTGCGAAAAGTGCAACTTGCCCAGTCTGGAACGAATCGTATCTGCGTCCTGTGATTCCGGTGAGCACTGTAATCAACTGAGCTACAGAATCCAATTGTCGAGCTCTATTAAACCACAAGTTCCTGTATATATAGGGTATATTAAAAAAAACTGAACCGATTTGAAATTGCTCTCAATTTCGCAAAACAGCTCGTGGCATCAAGTTTATATTATATCTAGATTCCTTGAGTACCCATAATGTAAAATAATGAAAAAAATACTCGAACTCAAATTTTGTAAACCAGGGGGGTGTTTCTTTTGCAACAAATTAAAAATGGTTTGCGCACAAAATTTAAAACCTTTAATTGTATTTTGATGGAAACGTTGTTGGGTTTTTAATTACTGTACAAAATTGCAGACAATTTGCTTTAGTTTAAGCCCTTTAACTATTCATTTTTTCCTAAAAAATCAGCCTTTTGCATACTTCATTAATGCCTTTACCTAATTTGCATATTGCTGCAATATGCAAGTTAGGCAAGTGGATTAATTAAGCATGCAAAACGCCAAAAGGCTGATCTTTTTTAGGAATAAATGTAAGTTTGCGTGAATAAACTGGAGCAAATTGCCTGAAATTTCGCGCAGCAATTAATTAAACACCCAACAGTGAACACATTTTCCACCCATTAACTCGAAATACGTAAAGCTTTTAATTCTTGTGCGCAAGCCATTTTTAGTTTGTTGGAAGACCTCCCTGATTTACAAAATTTGAGTTCAAGAAGAGTTCAATTTGAGTTCGGAAGATCGACTCGAGTAATCGCTGCCACGCCATAATTCATCATCAAAATGCTGACGCCATGGTCCTAGCCAGTGCGCGTCTAGAGTTCACTGGTGCGCGTTTAACGTCCGCCATTTCGAATGGTATCAGGGGGGTGAATACGGAGCTTTAGATTTGACTACGAGTACGAGTACGAGATTTGATCGCGTGCGAGATGTGAATCGTTGGAAATGTGATTTATCACGTAGAATTTTACAACTAAAAGGGCACTTCTGCCCCCCCCTAGCAAAAGGCAGGGGGGGGGGCAGCCGCCCGCCCTGCCCCCCAGTTCCGGCGTCCCTGACCGTAGTCGTTTTCGTTTCCATTCAAATGTTGCTTTTATAACAGTAAACCAACAAATCCCCTACAAAACGTGTAAATAAGTCATAACATTAAAAACAGGCCAGATATTTAGTACATATATATTATTTCAAACGCGCACTGGCTAGGACCATGGCGTCAGCATTTTGATGACGAATTACGGTTGCACCGAAATCATTGGAAAATCATAGGAAAAACCAAAACGTCGGGCTTCTGTGTAGTCTATTCTGTGACCACGGCGTATACGGGCCTATACGAATCATATTAAACAAAACAAGTGAGCCGCTTTAAGGAAGACCACTTTTAGACGTTTGGAGCAATAGTAGAGGTCAAGCACCTGACACATAGCAATTACACAACATGGTGTTGATCGCCGGCAAGCCATTTAACGTTTTTACAATTATCTCTAAATTAAACCTCCCTATTATCAAAACTAACTTGGCCCTGTTTACGCGTACACTTTTCTCTTATATTGTGTTATTGCAAAAATCAACACCCACGAGGATCTTCAATCGTGGACTTGAAAGATGAGAAGCAGAGAGAAAAACCCCCTGTTCAATCAAGGCATGTCGAATGAAGTTGTATCAAATACTTAAATGTGCAATACTCCAATAGTCTGCCAAAATAATTTGCAGGACGCAAGAAATCAGGAATTTAATTATAAAGTAAAATTTACTACAATCTAACATGTACTCAAACCGCTCCAGTAATATGTACTTCAACAATATGTACTCAAACGAAAATTATCATGAATTTGTTTTCGTGCTCAAATAAAATGGGTCGTAAATATAATAATTCCCTCATCCAGAATTGTATTCCTTTTCACTTTTTATTTCCTTCTGGCGGGCAATTTTACTTGCCGTAAGTTTATTTTAGAAAATAAACTTACCGTAATTCCTCCATTTACCTCCCCGGGGGCTTATTTTTTCCAGTAGTGTTGGACTGGAGGCTCATTAGAAGGGGGAGGGGGATGGGAGCTAAATAGAGACTGGGGGCTAAAAAACTTTTCACGTTCTTTTAGAAAAATACTAAGTTACAGAACCATCAATAGAGAAAATTTAATTTGAAGACATTTTTATGCAATTTACCATTTATATTTGTATCAGTGGACGTTATAAGAATGTTAATCGTTAATCAGTATTTCGCCAAAAGTCTACATTAAGAATGATTTAAATAATAAAGGATGTGGGCTTATTTTATTGCAACGGTCCTCGATTGGGGGATAATTAGAAGAAGAGGTGAGCTAGAAAGAGACTGGGGGCTAAATAGAAGAAATAAAGTAAAGCCCCGCATAAAAGAACCAGTGGGTTAAGGGACCGTTCATTATTCATACCTGGGATTGGCAGTAGTGCCTAAATTACTTTGAATTTGTACTCGAGTAAAAATAGAAGTAATTAACAATAAAAGGACTTGAGTAAGAGTAAAAAGTACTGGAGGCAAAACGTACTTAAGTACAAAGTATCCTTAAAAAGTACTTGAACTACAAAGTAAAAGTACTGTTGTCTGTAGAGTGTAGGGCGGGAGTATTTCTCCATTGATGAATTGAGATACAAAAAACACAAAACAGCACACGCGTTATAAATATACAATATTTCATGGCATGGTCTACTTTCCAGACCCCTTTGAAGATATAAGAAATTCATTAAATAAATAATGCTTATAAGTAAGTCACAAACGAGAAATCCCAGACGCATGTAAAGGTCCTATTACCTATCCCAAAATTAATCAGGAATAAATTACGTAAAATTAAACAAAAGTTAGAAAGTAACGAAATACTTCGCCGCAAAATGAATATAACGAAGTAAAGCGTTACTTCTTAAAACAACTTTGTTCCAAGTAAAAGTACTCCAGAAAAAGTTTACTTTGTTACATGCTGACGTCTCAAAAATAGTACTCAAGTACAGTAACGAAGTACATTTACTTCGCTACTTGACACCACTGGGGATTGGTCACGAAGAGAAGCGTGAAAACGCTGTAAACTTGTTATTTACCCAACCTCAACATTGGTCAAAATAATGTTTACCCAACCCATGTGTTACTCAACCTCGTTACGAGGTTGTGTGTTACTGTACTTTAATATAATAATAATTAAACACGCAAGATTATGGTGACAGAAATCAAGTTGCCTAAATTCTAAAAGGTCACTCACACTTAAACTTACTGAGTGTGCCAAAGCAATCACGTTCCTGCTCTTCCTCAATCACTGATAGTCTATTTTTGTACAAAATGTATTGTACAGATTTTTCTTCATATTTTCCAATGCATGGTAATTTTGGCTTTATTTTATAGCTGACAGACAGCCACAAATTTTTTTATCCAACCCATGAGTTAGTCAAGAACTTGATTACACAACCCATATCTTTTCGGTACCATCCCCGGGTATAAATATGGACGGTCCCTAAGACCCACCAGCCTGAAATTTGGGCAATTAAGCACCCAAAATACAAGAACCACCTTCAGGCTGACAAATGAAACTGGTTAATCCTTAAAAACATAAGCGTACGGGACGGGGGGGGGGGGGCGGCAGCTGCCCCCCCAAAAGGATTACAAGTCGAAAAGTCGGGCAAATGTTCAACAAAAGTCGGGCAAAAGTCGGGGAAAAAGTAGTCAAAGCAATAAAATCTCTCTTAATAATAACCCCAGTTTGTTGGGCAAACAAAGCCAGTTGGGCAATATTCGCTTCACAGTCGGGCAATATTGGGTTATTATAAAAAGAAATGGGACAAATTCTGCAAATTTTGGGGGAAATTATATAAATTTTGTGATGTTTGGAAAAATTTGTTTGTTCCGAAAAATTTTGGTATGTTCGGAACGTCCCGTACGCCTATGCTTAAAAAACCTTATTAAACTTTTAGCTGAATTAGTAAGCAGGTACTAGGAAGAAAACAAAATATTGCAATCTTGCTAGCGTGAATTATGTTTTTCATCCACACCATGCATGTATTTATTTTAGGGAGTATTCATTATTTATACCCGGGGTTGGTACCGAAGAGAAATGGGTTGGGTAAGCCATTTTTCTGGGGTATGAAGGGTTGGGTAAATATTTTTTGAACAAAGTCTATCGTTGGGCAAATTATTTTCAATACAAACCTTCAATTGAACAAAATATGAAAATCCTTTATTTAACGAAATGGCTCATTCCAGGAAATATCCATTCATTCCCCACAAAGAAAACTAAACTCTAACTGGGCATCCCCTCTGATTACAACAACGAAACATAGTAGGACTGCAGGAACTTGGAGGCTTGGGAATATAATATGAACTTGTGAAGGTACAAATGATTATACGTGACATTCAGTTAGTGCACCAAATATGCATAGTACTGTTTATACTATAGTGGCCTAGCTTGTGTAAAATACTGTATAATTTTGAAATTGGGTTGGGTAAAAATAAAATTCCAAGTCATGCAATAGTTGGGTAGGGGAAAAAATGGTTGACCGAAAGGGTGGGTGGTTGTTTTTTTCTCTTTTCGATTAGTTTCTCTTCGGTACCAACCCCGGGTATAAATAATGAACACTCTCTTATCAAAACTAGTTTCATGGTATACAATAAAAGGTTTAAAACTCTAAACCAGGAACAATTTTCACTTCAGCGGAGCCTGAAGTCAAAATTCATGGATCCCGTTTTATGCGGGGCTTTACTGTATTGTGTAAATTTCAACAGATACAAACCAAGCGTTGTTTGAAAACTGGGGGGATGACGTTGAAAATTATATAATTATAAAGTACATTACACTAAAATGTTGAATCAACGAACTTTGACAAAAAATTCTGGCCGGTTCTTGGGCACAAATATATTTTTGGCGGTTTGGCCCTCCAGCCCCTCCTCTGAACTTATTCTAACCCTCGCTACGCTCGGACTAAAATGAGTGGGGCCAAAACAAATTTATGCCCGCAAACATGAGGAACATCACTACTCTCTCGTCAGTTGTATTGAAGATTAACAGACTTTCTCTCACAACTATAATTATACGAAATTTGAGAATTTGTTTGTGACAAGCTAGTAAGAGCTCTGAAATTTGGGGTCTCGCTCAGAAATGCCATGTCTTGCAATCGTACAATTATAGGGAAGACTGATGTCACTGATATATAAGAACATGCATGTAGAGCACAGATGTACACAGATCTAAGAGGGCACTATTAGCTAGCTAATTCTATATTGATATTATATGTATTATGTAACTTTCCCTTGAAAATTGGACTTTTTATGCATATTTTAGAACAATTAATTACAATATTTTGCATATCGAAATTACCATCGAATCCATCATTTTTCCAGTTCCACAAAAAGTTCCATTTCACTTCAAAAATTCCATAAAATTTAAAATATGGAAATTTCCATAATAGTGGAAGCTCTGAATTTAATGCAATGTAGTCATGTGATGACTCATGTCAATGTAGTCATGTAGACTATTGTAGAGGAGAAACGTGAATGGTCTACTCCTTTTTTCAGTTGTTTGAGGTAAATGTTTCAGCTTTTAGTTTTACTAGTAATGTTCTTTAAATTTTTAGTCAGTCTTATTTTACACAAACTTTAAGTTAAACAAAACTTGCTATTTTACCCGGCGTACTTAATCGATAAAAACCGATCATCGGAAATCCAATCGATCAATCGATGGTAATCGATGTTATTTACTTAAATGATATGGATTGACATTGGTCAATCGATGACCAATCGATAGTCACAAAATGTTATAGCCAATTTTATCGATTATTATCGATATTCATCGATTTTCATCGATATTTATCGATTTTTATCGACAAAATGCTTTCGATTTTTATCGATTTATATCCTAAATAATCACCGCGTGTCGGCGTGTTCGAGTTAAATAGTAAATCTGTTCTCATGCATTTTTCGAATGTACACATGTATTTGATCTGTATTAATATAGCCTAATGAAAACTGAATTTAATCCATTATTACTGAATTCCGTTCACATTTGAGTTTGTTACGACATTAAAGTACGCATTAATTAAATTACGGCGTTACCTGTTTGATTGCATGCCTATATTAACGGAGGATTTTTCATCAATGAAAATTAATAATAAATCGATGATCAATTGATGAAAGTCACAGCAAAACAAGTCATCGATTATTCATCGATTTCCAATATCAATCGATTGATAAATATCGATTGGTATTGACTGATATCGATACTCATCGATTATCGATTTCATCGATTAAGTACGCCGGGTATTTTATTACAATCCCCCATAGTCCATACAAATTCTGGCAGAAGTTCAAGTGCCCCCTCCCTCCCAGAAAGGGTCAGCCCTGTGCGCTTATGTATATAAATTATTAACAATTATTGGATGACGCTGAGCAGGATATCCAGAATTATTTAGACCGAGGTCAATGTTATCTGCCGAAGGCTGAGGCAGATAACATTGACCGAGGTCTGAATAATTCTGGTATCCTGCACAAGCCGAATTCAATAATTGTTTTATTATTCATTTTGTGACAGAAAGAAAACAAAACAAGCAACAATTGAAAACAAATAAATATTCATTGAATTGATTAACTTTTCGTAAATTCAACTAAAAATTTCCCGCCAATTTGTATTTTCACATAAAATACCGCTCCAATATCTGCGGCGCCATCCAATAACCTCTACAAATACCCAAAATTATTTGTAGGCTCTTAGCCAATGAAAAACCGAGAACACAGTACAATGAATAACAGGGACCGCGGAGACGGGGGGGCTGGGGGGCTTTAGCCCCCCCACTTTTTTTGACAGCCAAAATTATTAAAATAGAAATCTAAATGAAACTTTCTAAATTAATTAAACCTCACCCTTTAGCCCCCCCCCACTCTCTAATACGCTCCGCGGGCCCTGAATAATAATTAATAATAGTCGCATTATAATTACAGTAGCAGAATTTTATTATAGAATGTTTGGGTATTATTGATTATCTACTTCTGCTACCCCCTGATTGCCTGAAACCCAAGGTGGAAAAAGTATTTTACTTTCTGGGACCAACAAGAGAGCATTTCTGCAAAGACCAATTAAATCGACACTCAGACACTGTGACCGTGTGACACTCAGTGGCGAAAATCTTGGCGGGGGGGGTGACGACTGCCCCCACCTTCACAGAATTTCTGCCACTGGTGACACTAACAAGTTCTCAAACTGGATCACCATGCTATATTTGAACAGCTAAAATCTATTTTAATTAGTGCACTGGGAACTTAATAATACTAATCAAGGGTCTGATCCTAACTTAAATACAGATGGGCTCAAATTGGCTAAAACTTCATTTGCCATACAACATTTGTTATGTCATTCTATAATCTATATATTCATACACCATTGCAGTATTAAGAAGGATGCATTTATAATTGCATTTCGGAGTTCATTCCTACAGTACAGATAACATTCTAATTTTTCTATTGGTTCGAGTTTTTCCTCAGAATTTCTTCTTTTATTTATTTAAAGTATTACAATGGTCTTTCTTTCTTTGTTGGGGAAAATAATTTATGGCAACTCAAAACATTTTCTAGGACCAGTGGTCCTGTGGTTTGATACTTTTACCACCCCTGCTGAAACCTGTCATGCTACATGTATTAGTATATGACAACAAGGACATGCAGCAGATACAGCCTAGCGTGCACAATCAATGACCAATCTGGCTAAATATACCCAATAATGCTAGCATAGTAGTTAAAAATGAACAGAAACATGCAGGGGCGTAGGAACCGGGGGGGGGGAAGTTTTGCCAAGTGCTCTTTTTCCGGGAGCAAAGTATTAAGATTGCATTTTTTGCCCAAAGGGGACTTTTGAAAACTTGAATGTATGTTATTTCCAGAAAAATTGTTTCATTTCTGGGAAAAATATCATATATCCGGAAAATTTTTTGGTATTATACGAAAAAGTTTTTCGTATTTAGGGAGCATTCATTTTTTAGCTGGGGGGGTGGGCCGGAGGAATTCGGGGGTGGGTCAGCCAATTTTGACATGCTTCAAAGGGGTGGGTCTTTTTATAGTTTTGGTATAAATGGAGGGAGTCATAAAAATAATCAGTGAAAAAATCACCAATATGATTTTATAGAATTTGGAAATATTTGGATCAAGAATGGTAAAAAGGTCTAGAATCTATCAACTATCTCGTCATCTATAACAATGAAGCAAAACTCATTTGATGCTCTGTTCACACAGTCCATAGGAAAACATTTCCATGATGTTCGTCAATTGACTTCATTTTTATCCGTTTTTGTGTGAAAACATGAATGAAAGAAAACGCAGGACCGTAGCAAGATTTCAAAATCATGCATGATTTCAAGGTCTGCATGACTTCAAAATCATGCAGATTTTGATCAATTTTAAGCTTTATTAATTTTAAGCGGCTACATTATCCATGACAAACTGCAAAGAATGAAGATAGTACCCACAGTTTCCTGCAACTTATCCTAGTTATCCAATATATAGTTAATTAAATATGCCTTCGCCCATTTAGTACTACCAAATTGTCAATTTCGACATACTAAAACGCTGTTTTCTGACAATCAGAATTCTGTCAAATCTTCCCCCAAAGGCCAGGAAATGGCATTTCAGAGACTCTAGATTTAAAAATTTCCTCGGGCCTTTGGCCCTCGCTTTCAGCCCCACAATAAAAAAGAGCTTCCTACGGCCCTGAAACGCTATGGAAATGACACCGTGTGGATTAATAGTTAGGATGAGGGGTCAAAAAATTTTCAGTAAAAAAAATAGGGGGTCATAATTTCTTATCAACTTTTGTCTTGGGGGTTCCAAGTTTTCGCATGGAATTAGACATCAGTTCCTCCGGCCCACCCCCCAGCTAAAAAATGAATGCTCCCTTAGGAAAAAATGTGGTATATCTGGAAAATTTTTTTTGGTATGTCCAAAAAAATTTTTTGAGATGACCTCTCCCCCGTTGCCAACATTTCCAGGAAAAAATTTTTAGATGCCCTTTTTTTTCGAAAAGTGCCCCTCAAAGCCTGCCTACGCCCCTGGAAACAAGTGCTTAAGTTTATGACTGTAAACATGGAGCTGCTATACATTAATTAAAATACAAGTAAACTAGTAGGCTTAAATTTTTCTCTATACAAAATTTGCTTTTCCCTTATGATAAATTTCCTGTAAAATTGTGTTACTCAGCCACCACTCCCCCAACTCAATGTTGAGCTTGAGTCATGGTGAAATTTGTTTTGTACATCAACTTTGCAATATTGGGAAGAAGGTCTCAAGGTCTACTGTATATAAAAGGTTTACATGAAATATTCTGGTGATGATTAAATGTGTGCAGTATACATCATCCCATGATTGTAGATACATAGTCAGCAGAATAAGGTTAGGAAACCTGATGCAGACATAATCGACCTCACTTATCTATGTTTTTGCCTTGGTTTATGCAAGAAATAATGGTTGGGTCATCGTCACATGTGTATTGTATTTTCGCTAGAGCAACCAATAGCTATGTTTTCATTTGTTACCATTGTGTAATATCACAACTGGGTAATTAAACCAACACACTGCTATTGGTTGGTTGGGCGAGAAAACAATAAACACATGACCACGAACCGACCCTTTTCCCCCCATAAACTAAGACAAAAACATAGATAAGGGGCGGACCATTAGAAATCCGGGGGGGGGAATAAAATTTTTGTGGCACGAATTTTTTTTAGTCTCATGTCTCTGCAGGATTTTTTTTAATACATTTAACCTCTGCAAGAATTTTTTTCAAGACTATTTGTACTTTGCTGTTTGCTTGCATGAATTTTTTTTCTCTGACATAATGGCTGCACGAATTTTTTTCCAGGCATTTTTTTTTTGCACAAATTTTTTTGGGGAATTTTCACCCCCCCCTCTCCCGGGATTTCTAATGGTCCGCCCGTAAGGAGGTATATTATGTCTGTATCAAGTTTCATAACCTTATTCTATTGACCATGGTCCAAACAGCAGCTTAAAAAGTGTAATGAACAAAATACTTTTTATCAGTTACATAAAAAATTTGCTGCATCATACAGTCTTTGGACTACTATTTTGGTAATATACCCCCAATTGAATTGGGGTGGGGCATTTATAATGTAATAACTTTATTCAAACAGAATACTAATATTGAAAGAAAATGAAATTAAAAGCTATCTATAGTCTATCATTCAAGATGTCTATCTAATATATATTGGTTGCAAATCAAATAGTTTTGAATGATTGATTAGTTTTATATAGACTATCAATAAAGTTATCTTGAAGAGTGCTAGTATACATCTAACTGAGCTGGACCTGTTAGCCACTTAGCCTGAAATCCCCTTTAAGCCATAATATATCATATATTGCATAATTCTAATTACACAAATTATAGTATTTATTTTTTTGTAGTAGAGTTATAACTGTTGTATTCTATCACGTATAAGAAATGCCAGTTATATTTGAAGAAGGGTATCACATAATAGTGGTTCACACTAACAAACCTGTGGCCTTCAGAGTTGTGTATGTATGTATATGTCAGATAATTAATAATAATTATGGTTAATTGGTAGAGATGTGTCATAATGAGACAAACCTTATCCAAACAAAGCTACCAAAACTGCTACATAGAATACAAAACATACTAGATTCACAAATATACCAGATTGGAGTTATAATTGAATTTGTCTAATAATTGTAATAATATACATATAATATTAAACCAAGAACAACTTCGATATATTATCTGCCTGATGATCGAGTAATGTAAATATGGCAACCCAGACAATACATGGTCGATAAATTCATCTAAAGTATTCAAAATCTTAAACCCATCATAGTTATTAACTATGAACCCATGCAGCATCCATCTTGAAGTAACTCAATTTAGTTGATCTGATTTGGGTTTTTAACGCATGATAGATATCACTTGCTCAGACCCCACACCGTGTCGTGAAGAACACGATATCAAGGCCAAGGGCCACATCACTATAAGTTTCAATTCATTCGAAAGTCATCTCTCAAACCTACATGCACAACCTAACCATGTATAATGTATACGCACCACCACGCGAATTGTAACACCCTACGGCTACAAAAACCATGAAACATCATTGGCGTCTCCTTTAAAACATTGACGTAATAGGACTGATTATACCCCACTGGCAGATTGATATATTTACTGAATTCCACAGGTAAATTACCGAGACTTGTTATGTTTTGGTTTAGACTTTGGTATTAAATACTCGAGGCCGTAGATATTAAAAAATAAAATATTATAATCATACCATCTTTTGACAGGTCGAATTTGTTCTAATGAAGACCAGATGAAAGATATTTTACACCGAACTACTTTGTCGCTCTGATCCGACAACTGATCTAGCGATTAAATTCTGCTTGGTATGTTAATAAGGTAGACGTTGACCATATATGGTGAAAGAGTTAGCAACCCAACTGTGAAATTTCCTGTAGCAAGTGTTTTTGTTTGGGTTACTATTATAGACAATTGCATTTGAGATTCATCAAAGTCATTGATATTATTTTTCTTTAAATAGGACGTTCTTTAAATAGGACTTTAATATTCGAGTCGGGATTCGCGTAGCATGCGACATAATCTGGTTACTATCAATTACTATCAAAATCTGTACTAACAATCATATGATTTCTCACCGCTAAGGCGCTAAATTGTTTGATATTGAATTCATTCGAATATAATTTACTTTTTTTGCCGACTACCTAACAAGGTACTGGCTGAGTAGATTGGAACATTTTTATTCAGCAATGCCAATGAACGGCTGTAAACAGACAAACAAATATTAGCTAGTAACTCCATACAAAGCCTTCCTTCGAAAATTCTCCTTATGTTTTTCAGGTGTTATTGACACTACCTACACTGGTACAGACAGACAGTTCAAATCAAATATTAACCGAAGCTTCGCTCCAATCCAATGATCTCAGGTCAAGTGATTGTTTGCATCATAGGACGAGACTTGCAAGTATGCAAATATTCACACACACGAGACACAAATATTCGTGTATTTTTATTAAGCCTGGTTCACATATATCTGCGGTATGTCGGAGGGCTATTGTTGTTAGCAGTTCAACCAAATAATTCACAAAAGAATCTATGCATCAACAGCTATAAACAATGATAGCGCAGGCATAACGCAAGCATATGTGAACCAGGCTTTTAAGCCTGGTTCACATATGCCTACGATATGCCGGCGACGTCATTGTTTACAGCTGTTGATGCATACATTCTTTTGTGAATTATTTGGTTGAACTGCTAAAGACAATAGCCCGCCGACACACCGCAGGCATATGTGATGCAGGGTTTACTGTATGGTCCGCGGTTTGACGTTCCAGGGGCAAACAGAAATAAAATGTTGAACTGAACATGTTTTGTTGATGCAACCGGTTTACGCTGGAAAACACTTCAAACTATTAAAGAAGGGTCTAGTAACGTTTTACAGTAATTCTAACTTCGTATAAAACTTTCGGATGGAAGGCTGCATTCACTGCGCAACACCAGACTGCTTTACACAGTAAAGTAAACCATTTCAAAGTGAATATTCTAAAAACGAACTTTTATTTTTTTAGCAATAGTTACAATAAAGACATTTAATACTCCAGCATTTGACAAGGAATAAACACTTTCAATAATTTCCTCAAAAATCTACAAATAATAAACCTCGAAACGATGCATATTTATAATATCACTACGATTTATGTCCAGTTATTCCGTGTAATGGAATGTTCCAGCGCCAAGTCCATATCCGTAACCACAATGCCCAATTTGTTTGCCGTAGTGAGCCTTGCAGTAAAGTTGTCCTGAAAAGAAATTGGTTATATAGTCATCTACTTTAGTTGTACAAAACACTCATAAATTAAGTCTAGTTTTGGCTTTGAATTCAGTATTTTAATTGCCACAGAGCCAGTGGCGAATCTAGTCATGGCAACTGGTCATGATATGCTAATAAACCTGCATCTAATTAGGTTAAAGACGATACATTTCTAAAGGTAGTAAATGCAAATCATCAAAAATTCGCATAGCTAGCATGACCTGTTGCTGTGTCTAGCCACCGAGTGTAACTGCAGTTGTCATATTGTATGTAAAGTCATTGGTACACTGCAAAAACTCCCTGAGTATTTTGACTTAAAAACGAGAGTAAGATAGTACACCGATAGACTCACAGTGACTCAAAATGGTCAGTGAAAAGTACTCAAATGTATATGAGCAAATTATTCAACATTTTGAGTAAAGTTTCAAAATACTCACTTTTTTAGTAATGATAAAGATTTATTTACTTTACTCAAACAAGTTTTTGAGTCAAAGTTTTTGGCAGTGCATTTCTTTCAAATGATATAATGCAACTGCAAAAACAATAAAGCCCCGTTTACACTGCGCTCAATTTTTGGTACGGCACAGATAAAATTGGTACCCGTACCACTTTTTTGGTTCTTGGACTAGCACCAAAAATCGAGCGTAGTGTAAACGGGGCTTTAGAACACTCAGAATACGATGGCTCTTTGTTACGAACGTCCGGACCGTCTGGTCTAGATCACAGGACAAGTATAATTCATATACGTGTATAATAATATCCATATAATTGCCATCGCTATTGCAAAAGGTCTCATGGTGCTAATACAGATGGAAAGTCACCATCATGTAGATCAAATTTTTACTAAATAAAGTGCTCAAGATAAGATGAACTGTCATTGCTATGGCGACAGTGGTGTTTCATTATTTACAACACCCACAGAGTTCATCTCGCTATTATATTATGGCGATGTTTGCTGTTTTAGCTTATATAAATGCCTGAATGGTGACTCAAATTGTATAACATGAAACATTTTCTTTTAGTTGATCTGTTTCAAAATGTGAGATCTTTCATGTTGGTTAATTTAACACATTTTCTGTATTTTGTCATGACATTTTCTGTATTTTGTTGGAAGTACATATACTTCAGACATACACAGTGGTAAAAATTGATTCATTAATAGAACACAGGTGTAGATGGCTGAATACATGGCTGAAACGTCTCCAGTCCAGTTTAATTGTATCAATATCCATCGTGCGACACGGCTACTATGTAGGTTGTAGTATATATCCTAATATCCATACAATCTAAATTTCAACCAAAGCTTGATCGTATTCAGTATAACACAACAAACTTGCGGAGGGGATATTTTTGTTCCATTGAAATAACCAATGTAATCGACATGTATATGTGTCAACAATGCGTAAATGCTTGAAATAGTGAGAAATATTAATAACCAGTAGCCCTCAAATGTAAGGTTACCGTTACGATGTCTGCTTTGTCTGGGACATACAATAATCATATTATGGTCATTGTATTTTACTAGTTGTCAATGAAAATAGCTTTTATGTGTAAACAAAGCAACAAATGTATTGTTTTAAAGACATAAATACTTTCATCGTTATTGCTCATCAGTCGGTCTTGTAATCTTCACTTGGAACAATGACACGCCCGTCAATGACGGATCAGTTTTCAATTCACTTTAAAGCCTTGGCAGGATGTTTTGTAAATTTTGGGTTCCCACAGAAAGAAATAACTGTTTCGTAGCATAATTTGTTTCAATAGACCCGCAACAATACATAAAAGCGATTTCGAATACGGCATCCCTTGTATCCAAGCTTCAGTCTCATTTTTTGTGTCGTAATTAAAAACAGATGTTGTCTCAAGACATACAATTCATCTGTCGAGCTATAAAAATGCGAACAGGGAAGCAATGTGGAAGCTGAACCATTATAAAATCCAAACTACACAAATGGTATATCGTATTTAGTAACAATACTTAGTCCCTGAGCTTCAACGAGAAAACAGACCATCAGGTTGCCTGTTGGTGATAACAGATGTTTGGGCCTTCATATTCGATGGAGTTAGATCCATATTCACAGGCAAATGTTTTTTTTCTCATTATTTGAAAACAGCTTTTGCACGACGAAGTAAGGCCAAATAAGACCATTTCGAAGTTACATAAATATGTAAAAGTGGTATTTGATTTGCGTTCATGTTAACTGCAGATGACAGAACAGCTGCGCAACTAGTATCTACAGGCGTGGCTATACACAACAGATTCTTTTGAAAATCTGTACATCCAACTGACAAGGCTAAATCAGTGAATAAACTAGGTATTCTACTTAATTGTAGATGTGGAGTAAAGCTATACACATAGGATGAAGACATTAACATCAACACCAAACAACAGAACATATTAAAGTGATCATATTTGTATGTCTATTCATACAAACCTTTATGTTCGTTAAATGTCATGCTATCCAGCCGTTTCTTGCAATGAGAGCACTTCAAGCACTGTTTGTGCCAAACTTCGCCATTCTTTCCACTAATTGCAGCCTTTTCAGCAGAGAACACAGCTTTGTCACAACATGGACAGATTTCAGACATTTTTGTATAATAATCTGTTTACCTGTTAGAACAAAATATTATAAAACGTACAATAAGTATTTAGAGCTCTGTGTTATTTTGTGATCTACAATATAAATGAAATAGAAATAGTAAAATTCAAGCGCTTACTTTAGCTACGAACAAAACTTGCTTTTCACCTCGTATGGCAGGAGCTTCGAGTGCTGTCTTTCCCGATGGTGTGGCGCATTTAATGTGCCTTTTGCGTGGACAAACTGTCCTTTTGATCCGCAAATCGCATTCCGAAGGATTCGGTTACACTGGCCATATATGGTATGGCGTACTCGTTGTATTTCGGAAACGGTAAGGACGTAAATACCAAGATAAATCCAAATACAGACAAAAGCAATGATAGTGACAAATAGGCCAAATTTTAAACTTCGTATGAAGGATGGCGCACGAAGTCCTTCTTTGTTTTTTTTTGTCCAAGTGACTTCGTCCTCGTTCTTTTCAATTTATTTAGTCTACAGGGAATCTTGACGGTCATTTCTGAACTAACATTTGAAAGCGGCCTATGCGTGACGCGTCATCAGAGCGCAAAGTAGTTCTGTAATTGTAGAAACGTGTGGAATGTTATGCAGTTCAGTAAGATATGTATGAAGACAAATAGGCATATGATGTGATACGTTAAGGTATGTACGTAGCCACCTGCAATTTTGGCAAAATGCGTAGAACGAATGGCCAAACATCCTTAAATCCTCCGTCCCCTCCTATTATTTTCCTGGATTAGAAGGAAAAGGTTTGGAGAACCACATCAGCAATATACGTAATAGGAAATATCAACATTGAATAGCACGTCCGGGGGCATTTTGCACGTAGATATTCCAGAAAATAGTAGCATTCTAACCTTGCGCGCGCCTCCTCATTCTGTGATTTTTTGGCCATGATTGTCTGAATGTAATCATATTTCCTATTTTGTTTTATAATTATAGCTGAAACTAATGACAGCCGTTGTATTTTTAGTGAAGATCACATTCGATGTATTAAAAACGAATTATTGGTCGCCTTGGACCCTTGATACTTTCAGCTATACAGGGTGTCTCAAAAAAACCCAAAATCATGGAAATTGACGTATTGTTCGATATTCAATGCCCTAGCACTAAGTTAATCCCACCAGTGCATAAAAGATTGACATAACTGCTATAATGAATGGTAATACTCAGCGTAAACTTGTTATGTCAGGCATAAAGTACTAAACCCACGAATGCATATTACGCATATTACAATTTACGAAGCATTTTTAAATTCCCATGAGCAAACAAACGTTCACTTTACAAAGATATTTTAATTTTTTAAAACAAATTAATCACCCTGTCAAAATCCTTTGTGTTACGGCATTGAAATTCGAACAATACGTTATTTCAATGATTTTGTTTTTTTTTGAGACACCCTGTATACAGGTGTATAAAAAAGCGAGACGTTTAGAAATCAAGCTATTGTTGGAATTTGAATGCCAAGCATGCTGAACCCACACGTGCGTATAAAAACACAATAGAAATGAAATTTATGCGTGACGAAATTATTTAAGACTTCAATTTGGTTTGACAATTTATCAAAATTGTACAGGGTGTCCCAAAAACCCCGAAAACTATTGAAATCACTTATTGTTAAATTTGAATGCCCTACCAAACAGCTGAACGTAATGATGCCTATAATATTGACAAGGTGCATGTATTAAAATTTAGTTAAGAACATCTCCTTGTAATTTGCGCGATTTTCTGCTCTTGGGAATTTAAAACAGCTTCTTAAACAGTTTCTTTATGCATAAAATTTACTTATGTCAATCATATATGCACTCGTGGGAACCAACAGAGCGCTAAGGCATTCAAATTCTAACAATCAAATCGTTATTGGTGATTTCAATAGTTTTCGTTTTTTTGGGACACCCTGTAGTTATGCTCCGTCATACGATTGGAATTTTGTACACCCTGGCCTGTACAGTATAAGAGAATAGATTATTCCTTGTTTCCGCCAGGGTAGACCGTTGGATATCCTGGGGGAGGGGGAGTTTCCTTGCAAGAATTTTTTTTATTAATTCGGGCTTAGTCAAACTTTTCATACGATGTACGTACAATCATGGAAATAATATCCGTAGACATTTTTAAGGCGTACCTTGTCTTAGCAACTATTTTGTCAAGCCATTTTATAGAAATAGTAACTCCCCCCTTCTCTTTAGCATACTATTGGTTCAAACTAGCCTCCTGTCAACATTGTAAACAGGAGATGGAGAAGGGGGGATTATTCAATTGTCTATACGAATTAATTTCCATGACTTGTAGAAGCTGTGCAGGAATTTTTTCTAGATATTTCTGCACATTCTATGTTGTGGCATGAATTTGTTCTTTCCCTAAACGCTTGCATGAAGTTTTGAAACTCCATTATGTTGCATGAATTTTTGTTGGGATCTGCCACTTCGATCCCCTTCCAGGAGATCTAATGATCCACCCATAAAGTTTTGTTGTTATGGCGCATTTCTACAGTCAAAATTCAATAGTTATATGCATGTATTTAAATCCAGTACGCTTGCGCCAACTAGTGATATGCAAACAATCGATATATCTAAACAATTGAATCGATTCCTCTATTTATTTAGCCCCCTGCAGGGGCTTGTTATTTTCCAGTGGTTGTTGATTGGGTATATTAAATACTGCATGGCTGGGGACGAAATACGTTTTCAGTCAAGTTCTCAGTGACTAAAGCCCGGACCAAACAGTTAGCTGTTCTTAATGCTTTCCCAACACTATATCATGTATTATTTAAGTTAAAACATAGTTGGAACACTCATCAAACTTTTATTTCGTTAATCCGTCTCCAGCAACAGTTCGAGACTGCTATAACTCTGATCCTCTTTTTACAAACTGTGCGTAGATTAACACTTTATCATCAAGCTATTTAGAGGATGGTCTGAAGTAGTGCCGGTCGTCATACGGTTTTTTACATAATGACCTCCAAAAAAGGAAAAAGCTCAAAACACGAATTAAACATGCTTAAATCAACACAATTCTATATTTTGGGAACAAAATTCTTTATTTTGGGAACACAATTCTTTATTTTGAAGGGTCTTGTAACAATGTTGGTATTTGACCGTATTTCGCTATGGAGTCTATGACCGTATATTGAGATAGATGTTAATAGTTAATAGAAGATGGGAAGTTAGAGGGTTGGGGCTTTATTAGCACATTTGGACTGGGGACTTATTACAAGGGGGCTGAATAGAAGAAGTGTGTAGTACAATTATATCAGTTAAATTGAACGTCAAATATGGTCAGTTGAAATTGAGCACACATTGTCTTGTGAGTCGAATTGAGAAACTTTACTGGAACGTACATTCATTACTCAAATCATTAACCATTAATCAAATACATCAACACATCGTCAAAGATCAGATATCGTCAAACGTACGTGGCGACAATCTTTCCATTTTTGGGAGCCCTATATAACTACCATATTGACACCACAAAATAAAGCTTCTAAACTATATACAGGGTGTATAAAAAAAGGGGAGACCTTTAGAAATCAAGCATATTGTTAAAATTTGAATGCCTTTTCAATTGCATATATGCTAAACCGTGGTGCATGAAATATTGATGAGTGCATATATTAGAAAAAGGAGACCTTTAGAACTGATCAACCATTGTTATAATTTAAATCCTGGAGCACTTTGCTAAGCCCACGAGTGGGTAACATGCGACCTACGTACAGTATGCATGGCAGATTGTTCCCAGGAGCAGACCATCGTTTGTTTAAACGTTATTTCGATTTCTAAAGGTCTCCTTTTTCTAATTTAATTTAAAACATTTAAAACGGGAATTTAAAACAGCTTCTTAAACAATTTCTTTATGCATAAAATTTACTTATGTCAATCATTTTTATTTATGCACTCGTGGGAACCAACAGTGCTAAGGCAAATTCTAACAATTAAATTGTTATTGGTGATTTCAATAGTTTTCGGGTTTTTTGGGACACCCTGTAGAGCAGAACTGAAAATATGCTTTGGGGACATACTAATAATAATAATAATAATATATTTATTCCATTACACCATTACTGGTACATAGGATATACTACAATATAACAGATACATATACAAACAATAAAACTATAGCTAATACTTAATTACAAACAGTACAGTCAGAGAAAATCTTGGCCGGTTAACTCGTAAATGTATCTGGCTGTACAATTTGTTAAACTCTTGTCATTCATGGATATACAATAAAGAAACAGGTCGTTTTTACCTAGTGAACTAAAACAACTATTAATTTCCAGTATCTCTTTCAGGAAATTTTCTTTGAGATTTTCTAACTTGTAATTTTTACAATTTAAAAAATAATGGTATTCGTCACCTATATCATTTGAATCACAAATTGGCGTAACTTATGGTCAATATTAGCATCTCGACCGACTTCAACTGGAAATCTATGTGCAGATATCCTAAACCTTGTAACCGCTTGGCGGTGTTTTACATTTCTGACCGAAGACAAATAACTTTCAACATGCCAACTTGGTTTTACAAGGCTTAAGATTCGTAATTTGTTGCACTGTTGAATCTGATCTTTCCATATTGTATTATATCTATTACATAATTCATTCTTAATAGCTTTAGCTAAATTACTAATATCACTTTTAGACTGAATTTCATAACTGCTCAAAGGTTCGAAATCACATATATGTAGTAAGAAATCAGAGAATTTCACACCCTGATACCTTGATTGAATGCGCACCTGTACTACCTTACCTACTAATTGCTTTTTGTAATTTGGACTATTTATTCTTAACCAGTATTTGATAACTGAGTTGAAATTTGTACAGACATGGGTAATCTGCCTAGTTCAGCTAGCACTGCTAGATTGGTAGATTTGGGGTGGACCCCTAAAATACGTTTACATGGGTAACTGAGAAAAATCGATAAATTCCTTTTGTGTACCTTTGAAATTGTTGTGATTGGCAAATAACTAATTAACGCAACAACTAAAGACTTGGCAGAAAAAATGTAAAATATTTCGTTGTCACGGACATATATCATGTTACAGATTATTAGTGTCGAAAGCCCAATAAAAATCGGATGAACATGACCTTCCGAATTGAATGATCGGGTGATCTGGGGATTTGCCAAAAATTCGGGTGACACCCGACGAAATAGTCTGATTCAATTTTTACATTTGGATTTAAAAAACAACAACAAAATAACCAGTATGTATTTACCAGTTGGCCATAGCCGGCATAAAACTGCTGGTGTTATC